CCGGGATCCCTTCCATGTAATAGAGGTTCAGCCACTGAAAACATGCACTACACACTTTGGTCATCACAACTAGCTTGGTTCATTCAATAAGCACAAGTTGCAAAATATGTGAAATTTGGTAAAGTGGGTTGATTTACATCTACTGAAAGGCAACAGGGGACCAAGCGCAGACTGCAAAACTTGAGACAAAGATCAAAAGAAGTTTAGGAAACTGAAGATCATCTAAACCAGAGTTCACAAGGTCAACAGCTAAATCACTTTATAAGAATCAACATATCCTATCTTTATAATTTCTTCCATCACAGTATTAGCAAATCTTCAGATATGTGGTCGGATCTTAGACCTATTTGTTTTGGCAACTCTTCTAATCTATTCTTCAAAAATATCAAAAGAGATGCTAATAACCAAACACAGCCATCACTCACATTACACCATAAGCGCATCAACAATTTCAACCCAACTCATCACATAAAGTAAACACCTTCATACATGAAGAACACTGTATTCACATACAAGATGAATAGCCAGTTTATGATATTAAGCAAGCAACATATGGATAAAACAATCATCGTAGACAATCAAAATCTTTCAGTGTAAGCCAAGTTAATCTAAATTGATTCTCTATAATGGGACCTAATCAACCCATACAATTGTAGACGTACACACTCAACATATTGATACAACTACGTGTTCTTCTAGGCATGTGCCAAGCACAAAACATACTTTTTTATGCCTAATAAACTAGAAATTGCCTAATTAGTAGAATACATCAACGTTTAATGAACACATACAATAAACCGTCTTGATCACAAAGTCTAAAGTACTCAGAAAGTTCAAAGCCAGACAAACGCTTCGAGTTCTGTGATTTTGAACTTAGGTGTCAGAGCTGGCATTTGCATCACATATATTGCACACCGAAGTTCACTGAAGAAATCCATCAGCAAACCAGAAGGTGTGGCGTTGATTGCAGGAGGCTTCTGTTGGTTGAAACTTAAGAATTTATTTTCTGAAAAATTTTCAAAAGCTAATTTGGTTGAAAAAAACAAAAACTCATTAATTTCATATGGATTTCTCCTTTTTGGAAAGGAAATAATTTTTAAAAATTAAAAAATATATTTTTGATGTCTATTTTTATCAAATTAATTATTATTTTTTTATTATTTTTTTTAAAAACTAATTTGTGAAATACAAAACATACACGGCCACGAGTTTTGGCCATGCTTGGTTATATTCTGAGATTATTTAAAAATATATATTTTTTAAAAATTAATTTTACAAAAATAAATATCAAAAACATATTTATTTTGCCTTTCAAAAACATAAAATTATATAAAAATAATTTCTAACTTTTAAGTTTTTTAAAAATTTAATTTCTGTTTTTTTTTTTTTAAAACCAAACTATAAATCACCGAAACCAAACAAATCAACCCAATTTTCGATTTGCCTATGTAAGAAAACCGTCTGCCAGAAGCAAATGGGGACAAACAAACTCTGCTTTATGTGACTGCCACTTGTTGGTATACTATCAGTTTAAAACCGCCACGTGTCTCTGCGCAACTGAATTCTTGACCAGCAGGTAAAGCCACAACCACCTTCATCAAAAAGATGCTCACTCACACAACTTTAACACATATATACAAACAGTTTGAACACAGAGAGAGAAAGAGAGAGAGAGAGTGTGTATGTGCGTGTGTGTTAGGGTTTCTATTACGGAGTGTTTGGGAGCTGCATAGGAGGTTTCTCGGGGCCTAGAAAGTCCGAGAAAATGGCGAGAAACGGAGAGGAAGAGAACCCGCAGAGAGGTAACTCTGGTTCTGCAACCGCCGCCGTCGGGGTTAGAGCCAGAGCCGACCCTTTCCTGGTCGTTTGCCGATGCTTCAGCTTCATCACAGCAGTGGCTGCCATTCTTTGCATTGCTGTCAATATTCTTTCTGCCGTTCGATCTTTCAAGAACGGATCCGATGTAATATCTCTCTCTCTCTCTCTCTCTCTCTATATATATATATATATAATTCATGTATATGTGCGTTTACATGTATATTCATTCACTTATTGAGTTTTAGATTATTGCTTGTGATCTGTAATTGTAGATGCATTTTTAGGGTAATTGTTTTGTTGTGTGGATTATTTGTAGATATTTGATGGCATATTTCGGTGCTATGCGGTTGTGATTGCACTCTTCGTTGTGGTTGCCGAGACAGAATGGGTATTCATCATGAAGTTCTGGAAGGTTCATTTTCTAGTTTCTAATTTTGGATTTTAATTTGTCCCCCAAAAATATGAATTTCTATTAAATTTAACTTTTGAAGCGTTTTGCATCTGGATAACTTTTAGTTTTTACTTTCTTTATGTTAATTAAATTGCAAATGCTGTGTTTTCAGTTATTGCCTTTACTTAGCCAGTTAGAATTGATGGACCAACCACCAATCTTATTCTTGTTCCTTATTTTGCAAGATCAATTGGAGGAATAAAGGAAGGAAGTTTAGGATTTGGGATTGAATGAAATTTATATTTATAAAAATAAAAAATAAAAAAGTAGAGTATTTAGGATGCTGAAGGACTGCAGCACTTCATCTTTTTAAATCTTAATTACTGTCACCCCTTATAAGGATAAACAAAAATATTTTAAGTTTGTTTCCCTATTTATTCGAGGGGACCAAGCTTCATGAATAGGAACCATCAGGTCTGATATTGGCCTGGGCTATATAGGAACAATGAAAATATACTCGCTTGACGTCTTTATTCTAGGTGAATGTCGCGTTTGTAATGCTCTCTCTCTCTCTCTCTCTTTTTTTTTTTTTTTTCTCTTCTTGTGGAGTGTGGGAGGGCAATCCCCAGGATATACACATTCTAATTAGGGCACTGCAAATTAGAAACCAAATCTTATTTTATTTACAAAACATTCAGTTACAAATGTATACTTCAGGCTTCAACTATGAGCTGTAAGAAATCTCTCATTCCTTTTATCTCCATCTTTATCCAAAAATGCATAGAGGGATGCAATGCAAGGCCATCACTTGCATTCTCTAGCTAGCCATCCACCAGCTAACAAGGTGATTTAGGCATGTCTTGTGAATATGTGATGCTTTGACTCCATTCACTATTTTTTTTGATCTGTTGGTCCATGACAGTGAATAAGCAAGTGGTTATCTGGATTTCTATTTGGATTATACAAAATGCAAGAATGAGTATTACAAAACATAGCAATGGCAAAAATGCAAAATTAAGGCTGTGTTTGGAGAAACTTTTCAAATACATTTTCACCCATTGATTTAAGTGTGGTATTTGTTTTGAGTTTTCAAATTATTATTTCACACCCACTTTTGAAAACTCTTTTTCAGGCAGGAAAATTTGATTAACCCGGATGTCCGGCCGATTGACCGGAGTGTTTTTTTTTTTTTTTTTTTACTTGTTATTTTTATATAGTATTTTAAATAAAAAATATTTTCAAAACTTTTTAAAATTTTTTATGAGTTTTGAATAGGATTTTGGATTGTGTGTTTGGTTATGAGTTGTAAGTTTTTGAATCAAATAACTTTTCTAATTTTAAAAACTCAAAACTCTCTCCAAAACTCAATTCAAAACTCTTTTCAAAACTCATAACCAAACAAATTTTCTACACTCAAATTATAATTCCAAAACTCACAAACTCAAATACAACTTTATTCTCAAATCATATTTAGAAAACTCTACCAAACGCTACCTAAGTTCTTTGAAATGCATACATTCTTTTGACTTCCTACTAGAAAATACCTAATCTTATAGGGAGTGAACCCTAGATATTAACCCATAATTTTAATCAATCATTTATTTTCCACTGTCATACTTCCTAATTTTTATTTAAAATGGATACAGCTTTCATAGTCAAAGACTTTCACGCCATCTATGTTATACAATTGACAATTTTCTACTCAGGCCTACTGCATGAAATATAGTCATATTCTTTTTTATTTTTGAAAATATATTTTTTATATCCTTAACCCTTATAGCTCACGTTGTAGTTATTGGCGATTTGCCAAAATTTGGCAAATCATATGTTTGGTAACCCCTTCTTTTATAGCTCATGTCTACCAGAAATGCTGCCCTTGTCATTGTTATTGTTAACAAATCATATTATCTAACTTTAGATTTCAATCAATCATGTGCAGGTGTTGGAGTATTGGGCTTGTAGGGGTATGCTGCAGATCTTGTATGTTCTAATTTTCATTAAAGTCTTTTGCCTGTTCCTATCAACTCCTTTCCTTAATGTCCTGTTTAAAAAAACTGTGAACTGAATTATCACAGAATCACTACCATCAAGAATAAGAAAAACTGAATTATCATGAAACTAGTTAACTATTTACAGAAACTGTCAGTGAAGAATTTCCATCTTTACATGTGTGTGTGTGTGTGCATTTATTTGCCCCAGAAATTTTAGTTTTGTTTGTGAATCATAGGTCCTATTGTTGTTTTCAGCGTTGCAGTGATGACAAGAGCTTACCCTGAGGACTCTGGGGAGCGGGAGCAGCTTATTCTTCTCCAAAACATATCATGTTACATGCTTCTTTCTTGTGGTGTTGTTTACATTATTTCGGTATGTTAATTATTTTAATATTTCTTTGTTTTTGTTTTTTAAAGAATTGTTAGATATTCTCTTGCTGATTTGAATATGGTATAGAACCTTGCCATGTCACATGGCTAATTGTCATTCATATCTGAACTGGAATTGGATTTCTCATGGAATAAAACGGAATTTAAAGGAAGCGATGGTATTTACAATTGAATTTATTAACTTTGCTATTGTTTTAAAAGCCCTATTCCCAAATTGTACTTGAGAAAAATGTACTGGTCATTTTTTTCTTTCCATGGTAACTGAATTCTCTTGATTTTGATATCATGTTTTGCTCACATCCAATGATATTGAAGAACTGAGGAAGAATGTTGTCTTTGGGGTTGGCCATGTCATCTTTTGGTTTTTAGTTTCCTATACAAGTAATTGTTGATTATGTCTAATATGTATTTCGAATTTTCAACATCAAATTCAGGGAATTTTATGCATTGGCCATTTCAAACGTGCTCGCCAGAAGAAAGAAGTTTCAAGGGACCAAGCTGTTAGGGATCTGCAGGTAAGCTAGCGTGTGCCTATATTTTAATGTCTGCAGTCGGTGTCCAAGATTCTTGTTACTTTGGTTCCTCTAGTTGATATCATGGTTTAGATTAAGCTTCTTGTGGCTATGACTCGTATTCTTCTTTGAATTGTTTTTTGAGTGGTGAGAAACATATATGACATTAAAATTATAAATATTAATTTAAATTAATATCTAGGTTACTTTTAACTGTAAGGCTATAACCAGTGCAGCGGTGGTTTGAATTTGTCAATAGTTTGAGTTCAGTTTTATATATGTTGATTTTCTTAGGAATATTATATATATTACTTGTCTTACCAATTTGCAGGAATTGGAGCGTCGTAGAGAGGAACTTGAAGCTTTGTTGTTAATTGACGAAAGAGTTTGAGACTCGAGACTAGGGTTAACCCAGAAGACTTTCTAGTGTCAAGCTTGAACTAGAAGCTAGAAAAGTGAGTTTTTCACTGCGGCCTGGAAATTCTTGTTTGTATATTTCGTCGTTTGTTCTAATAGAGTGTTGTTTTCTTTCTGGGACCTGTTCTTTGTAAAATTGTAGTTAGATTTTTGTGAAATAAACTAATGTTGTGTTTGGATTTATAAATTATAAAGGAAAGGTGTTGACATTATTTATTCAAGGAGAATAGTTTAAATTTAGATTTGATAATTTAGATATAAGTTTTCAAGATTTATTGTGAGTTTTGTAGTGATGAATTTGTAAGGCAAGAATTTCCTACACCCAAAGTGAAGTGGAAAGTGATGCATGGCAAAAACATGCACAACCACTAATAGTTAAAAAGTTAAAATGTTAAAGAATTTCACAAAAAAAAGTCAAATATTTTATTTTTATTTATTTTTTTGTACATTTTTTTATTACAAAATTATCTTAAACATATTAATTTTTTTACTTTGTATTTTAGTCAAAAAAAATTATTAAAATAGTCTATTTCTAAACTTGCCAACATAAGAAAATGGTATATGTATGTACAAATTTCAAAAGGAAATTACATTCAAACCGATGTGACAAAGTTTGGTTTTCAAATTATGAGTCACTAGATGGTAAAAAAGACATTTTGAAATAACGAAAAAGTTCTCTACAATTCCAAGAATAGGAAATTGTTTTGTGAATTTGTGCCAAAGATTTTTACATGTTCGGAAAACAAAATAACACATTCAGCCCCGTTTGTTTTGGTTTTGGAGGTTGGATTCGTAGTCCGAACGGATTATGATAGGCCTTAGGCCACATTTGTTTAACAGATTAAGTTGGATGAGATTATTAATAAGATGATTATTAATGAAGAGATTGTTAATGTGTAGATTGTTAGTGAGCAGATTAAGGCCAAGTTTGGAAAATTCAAAATAATCCATCTTTTTATCTTTTTTTCATTATATCACCTCTCTACTTTTCTGCACATCTTTTCGTAAAAAGACAAAAAATGTACTTATTTAGGTCATCCCAAACAAGTAAAATTGTATTTGTTTTGATAATAGTGTGGGAGATGATTAGTGATGGGATTGTTAAATTATTTTTATATAAAATAAATAAATAAATTATTTCTATATTAAAAAAATTAAAACAAATAGGTGCACTCGGTAAAAAATAAAAAATAAATAAATAAATAAATTTTTTTTTATATAAAATAGATTCAATCCCCTTATTATTTTCCTAATCCCACCTAAAATTCACCTAAGCTAATCCTCCTATATAGAGGGATTACTAAGCCCCCTTCACTACTAATCCTATGCCATTTTGTTGCATCCCACGGATTGGTAATCCAATGCACCCTCCCAAACCCCCAATCAAATATGATTTATGTTTCCATAACTTTCTTTAACTTCTAATTCATACTCCATGTTCTCCACTTTGTCCTCTATCATTTTTCACATGTGTTTAATGATTCATAACTTTTTATAATCTCCAAATAAGTAAAAGAGTGTTATATGTCCTGCAATTATGGGGTGTTTTGGGATGATGATTAATATCTAGTTTTTTGACATTTTTTGAAAAAAGATGTAAAAAATGTGAGAGATTATGTGACTAAAAATGAGTTAAAAGTTGAGAAGTGACTTTTAACTCACTTCCTAAAATAAGCCTATATAAATAATAACTAATAATGAAATTATTTATTTATAGTGGCAACCGGTACAGAATATTTCTTGACAAATTTTTTCAAAAAATCAAGGGCAAATTATCAACCACCCTTGAGGTTGGACTAAAATATAAATTTCTCATAAAATTTGAAACTCACCATGGGTAGTTTTGAGTCGAGTTATGATTCTGGGCAGAATTCTTCGGCTAGTCCAGGGATGTTCCCAATCCTCCAAATTGGCAAGCTATGCACCGGTTTTTTATGGATATAGAGGCAGCAAGAATGGAGGAATTGGTCTTGTCCTCACCATCTCATGGTTTGCAAACGGTTTGTCAAGAGGTTGTCTCACAACAACCTCCTCAAGGGCTATGAGAATTTTTAGCTGGAACTATAGGGGTTTAGGTCATCCTCTTACAGTTCAAACAACTAGGCAATTGATCCATCAATAGAGGCCAAATCAAGTTTTCTTTAGTGAAACTGAAAAGTCAATCCAACAACTATAGCTCTTGGGTGTCATGGGGTTTCAAAAATGGTTTTGGGGTGGATTGTAATGGTCGAGGTGGTGGATTGTAGGCTGCGTGGGATGATACTCAGGATATTACATGCGTTGCATTCGCGAACAAATACTTGCAACTACGAGTGTTTGATACGATTTTGGGATTCCATGCCTTTCGAGCCACTTATGGCTAGCCAGTGCTTGCGAAAAGAGAAGTTTTTTGGACGGAACTCGAAAGACAACTTTGGGGTTGTGATTGTCCTTATGTTCTCATTAGGGATTTTAACCTTCCTCTTCCATCCGTTTCTTTTCTTGCTGCTTCTATCACCATGCTAGCCACTACTACTCATTTTATTTCTATTATTAGCTTGCCACCAAGGAAACCTTTAGATCTATACTCAAATATGATTCATGATCGAGATTTGATGTTGTTATACGCTAGGTGACCAACTCAGATTCGGAATGTTTTATTTGAAATGTCGAGGTGGGATCAAGGTACCAAAACTACTGGTTGCGACGATGAACGGATCATGAAAGTGATTGGTTTTGTTTGTTTGGTAGTAATCGTTTTGTTTTTGTTTTT